TCCCCTTCCCTCTCCTTCCCTTCCCTTCCCCTTCCCTTCCTCTCACCTTCTCTTCCCTTCCCCTTCCCTTCCCCTTCCCTCCCCTTCCCCTTCCCTCCCCTTCCCTCCCCTCCCCTTCCCCTTCCCTTCCTCTCTCCTTCCCTTCCCCTTCCCTCCCATCCCTTCCTATCCCCTCACTTCCCCTCTCCTCCCCTCCCCTTCCTCCTTCCTTCCTTCTTTCCTTCCTCCCGCCCTTCCTCCCTCTCTCCCTTCCTCACTCCCTCCCTTTCTTTCTTTTTACTTTCTGTAATTCTAAGGTGGCAGGAATGACTTGACTTATTCGACCATGTGTTTTTTCCAGAAATATATTTCTGAAAATATATTTCTCTGTTTTGTATGTTTTTCCTGAGTAATACAGATTTCTGAAAACATTGAAAGAGTAACACCCTTTTCGAAAGTCCATTTATAAGATGTCCAAGAATTCATCACAGAAACTTCAACCAATCTTTTAACAAATAGACTCTAACAACTCCCTTGAGATGAGTATTATCTTGATTTTACAGATGAAGCTTGGAAAAGTTAAGTCGTTTGCTCAGGGTCAATAGCCAGCAAAGCAACAGCACCAAAACTTAGATCCAGTTTTGCTGATGCCAAAATGCGTGTCCCGGTCTACACCACTCAGCAAACCTAGCTGGAGCCCTAAGTATGTGAGATCAGAAACCTCTGGTTACAGTCTTTTTTTTTCTTTTTTTTGTGGGTGGGGGGCGAAGTCTTGCTCTGTCACTCAGGCTGCAGTGCAATGGCATGATCTCAGCTCACTACAACCTCCACCTCCCGGGTTCAAGCTCTTCTCCCTGCCTCAGCCTCCTGAGTAGCTGGGATTACAGGTGCATGCTACCACGCCCGGCTAGTTTTTGTATTTTTAGTAGAGACGAGACAGGGTGTAACTATGTTTGCCAAGCTGGTCTTGAACTCCTGACCTCAGGTGATCCGCCCACCTTGACCTCCCAAAGTGTTGGGATTACAGGCATGAGCCATGTCACCCGGCCTCCAGTGACTGGAAAGCCCACAGCTGATCCATGAGGCAGGCCCCACAGGAGACAGGACACCACGGTGGAACATTTGCCACAGTATTAGACCATAAGGCTTGGAGAGTCAGCAAACTGCTGCATGAAAGAGCATTCTTAATGGAGGCCAGGGCAACCATCTTCTTGGAAAAATGGCAAAGTAGAAATTGAACACAATGGAGTAAAAAAACACTAAGGAGATGGTTAGTGAAGGAAATTATGGTGGTCCCTTTCCTTCCTCAAAGACTTTGAAACTCCCTGTATGGTGGATCAGTTTCAGAGTAATTGTGGAAGGCTCTGAAGTTTCTAGGACTACACAGGAGGAACAGTGGGTCCCAGCAAGATGAAAGTGAACTGTGAGAGGCTCTACCATGGTATAGAAATAGGATATCAAGAATCAAGAGGATGAGCTCCAGGCATGGCAGGGCTTGCACAGAAGAATGACTTGCCAGTGGATTGACAAAAGAATGGGCATGCCTTGGTTTCAGATGCCAACATCTCTCAGGCGCATGGTGAGCACCCTGTTAACTGAGTGCCCTATTGTCACTGCAAACAGTGCTCTCAGGAATGGGGGCTTGGGTGAGGGGACAGAGTGCTTTCGGGTTTGGTGGAATAGATTCTTTAAGCCAGTGGCTTTCTCATTGTTTTGGATCATAACTCACAGTAAGGAGTATGTTTTCTATTACCAACCAGCCACCCATACACATATTCCGACAGTTTCCCACTCACAATGGTTCCATATATGATGTTTCAACTTTAAAATAGTGCAAATGAGGTATGCATTCAGTATGCTCCTTGGGTTACATGTGGATGAATGCATCATAAGTTGAGGAGCATCTGTGTAAGACTGAGGGAGAATTTTATGGTAGAATATTTATCCTTACTATGCAAGATGCACTCAAATATTTCCTATCCTCTTTTATTCATTTAAGCGAAATTGCTGGCACCTCTTGCTAAATTGATTTCTCAATCCATTAATGGGTCATGACTTACTGAGTGCAAAATCACTGTTTTCAGTTGCACCCTGTATCAACAAGCGGAAGTAGTCACCTGGGCCCTTGGGAGCCACAATCAATAGCATAGAAGTTGCATATAGAATGTTTTCTCTTTTTAGGGAGAAGAGATTAAAAAATAGACATGTTAATTCTAGTTAACCTCTGTCCATTTAGCCTGCAAGTGACTTCCCCTGTAGTGGATTTGGTATTGTCCAGGATGTGGCTCTGTAAGCCCAGGATTGGAAGCCCATTTTGAATATGTGCAGAAGTTTCTTGAGTACCACTTTAAGCTCAGTCTTGCCAAGATAGGGCGTCATCCCTCACGAGCTTCCCAGGACCCCTTGGCTGTGCGCACAAAGAGAGCCGGGCTTTTCTTGTTTGGGCCTTTGCTCCTTCCTATTTGATTGAATTTGAAGAGGAACTGTTTGCCTTTGGCCACACATCCTGAATCATAATCAGGATGCTGCTGGCACAGAAAACCTGCTCCCACCCTTGCCTGAAATAACTGAGCAGGGAAGTGGAGTTCCTCCCCTCTCCAACCTTAAAGAAAGAGGCCCATAATTTATCGTGTGCTGGCAATACATCAAAAGTCAAGGCAGTCACTTACAGTAAAATCAAGGAGGGCAGAACAATGAATATAGAGTGAAGTTAAAACACCTCATTAAAAGGAACAAATTGTTCGGTTGATACCTATTCTGGTGTCATACTTGTTAGCCAGAGTCTGGTGGCCTTTGGGGTTGTTTTCCTGCCTGTGGGATGTGAAAAAGGCATCAAGCCACACTCTCAGCGTTTTCAGTTCTTCAATTCAGCACATAGGCTTTGCTCCAGTGATGTATCAGGGACCACGTGACTAGGGATATTAGTTTTCTGGGACTGCGTTGCTGCAACGAATTGCTATAAACTTAGTGACTTAAAACAACAAAACTGTATTTGCTTTCAATTCTGGTAACCAGAAATCTGAACTCAAGGTGCTGGCAGGGCCACACTCCCTCTGAAAGCTCTGGAGGAGAATCCTGTTTGTTCCAGCTTCTGGTGGCCCGAGGCATTCCTTGTCACCTCAATAGCTGCCTCCTCCTTCACAGGGCATTTCCCTTCTCTTTGAATGTCTCTCCTCTATGTGTCTCTTAGCAAATATTTGCCACTGGATTTAGGGCCCACTGGATAATGCAGGCTGATCTTACCTGGAGAGGCTTAACCTCGTTACTATGCACTGCTAAGAATAAAGACCCTTGTTATGATAACAAGCAAATTACACCCAAGTATATTGACAGTAATTCCATAGTCTCTATTACCAAGAATCATTTTACTCTAACAAACAAACACAGAGAAGGTGATGCTGTGGGTGATGTTAGGGTTATCTACAGTTTTCAAATGTTTTAGCAGAAATGTGGATAGAGAAGCCTACGATCACGAAAGTGTGAAGACTTGGTAAGTCTAGGTGGAAGTTATGTGGATGCTCATTGTTCTATTCTTTGACTTTTTTAATGCTTGAAGTTATTCATAATTTAAAACTTAGAGAGGGGAGGGGAAGAAAATTCTTGAAGCAAACTTTCTTGACCTATCTTTCTAGTGAAGCTCTAGTGAAGGTGGGGTGGAGGAGTTTCAGGGACCAGGAAGCTTCTAAATTTATGTTTGGGCTTTTGCGTTACCTGCATGGAAGCGCGCGCGCACGTGTGTACGTGCTTCTTTCATTTTCTGGGGGAAAGTTGATTGCAGCATTGTTCAGCACAGGGAATAACGCATGGTGTTCAGGCAAACCTTGTTTGGGGTCTTGAGTTTGCCTCTTACTAGCACTATGACCTTGCTTAATGCCTTGAACCAATTTTCTCAACTGCGAAGTGGGGATAGCAGCAGTTCCCATCTCATTGGGATATTGAAAGGAATAAGGAAAACCATACCTTTAATAACGGCTAACGTTTATCAAAGGCTTTCTGCATTTAGAGCACTGTTTAACGCGTTTTTAGAAGTGGCCATCTTATTCTCGCAACTCTGTGAGCTAGGTCGTAGTATCACCATTTTGCATATAAGAGAACTGAGGCACAGAGAAGTTGAGTGACAGGCCGAAGGCCACACCACTGTTAAATACTAAGAACTGGGATTTGAACTAAGCAAGCTGAATCCTCTCTCTGGTATCTTTACATTCCCCTTTGCACAGTGTCTTGCCTGTGGTGAGCCCATCAGTATATGTTTGTGTGACTGCACATAGGAAATCCCCGGTAAAAGCTTGCTGAGGCCGGGCACGGTGGCTCACATCTGTAATGCCAGCACTTTGGGAGGATGAGGCAGGTGGATCATGAGGTCAAAAACTGAGACCATCCTGACCAATATGGGGAAACCCTGTCTCCACTAAAAATACAAAAATTAGCTGGGGGTGGTGGTATGCACCCGTAATACTGGCTACTTGGGAGGCTGAGGCAGAAGAATTTCTTGAACTCGGGCGGTGGTTGCAGTGAGCTGAGATCACGCCACTGCATTCCAGCCTGGTGACAGAGCAAGACTGTCTCAAAAAAAAAAAAAAGCTTGCTGAATGACACCATCAGGAATTTTTTTCCAGGCTGTTAGTTAGAAAGGTGCTAAATGTGCTCCTGTTATGGATGACAAAATGTACTTGTTTAGAAAAGAGACATATTTTCTTAGCCTGACGTCCAGTCCTTTGAAATAATAGCTTTAAAGCTCACATTTGAATAACCTAGTGGAAAAAGGGTTAGTCTAGTGAAGACTTCTGCTCCTGTTCCAATCAGCTGCTGAGGTTGGGCTGTAGCCAGATTGATGACTTTCTCTCATATGCAAGAGGGCGAAGCACTAGGGTGTTACCAGGAATTGAGACCTGGACGGGCTGCAGAGCTGGGCACCCAGCCGAGTCACGCCCAAGCGGTGGGTGCTTGCCAGCTTCGGGCCTAGGCTGTTGCCCCTGAGAGACTGGGCAGGGCCAGCAGCTTTTTGCTTGCTGATTCTCTCATCTCCCAGAGCAACAGCCCGGTGCAAACTGTGGTCACCCGTGGGAATGCTCCTGCCACACCGGCGAGGCCTGCAGTGCTCCAGGGCGTGGCCACCTGCTCCTCTGGGCCCATACAGATGTCTCTACTCAGAGGACGCCACCGCGCCATCCTGGGTTCAGGGGTGAAGCTGCAGGGGCTGCTTGCTTTGAATCTCAACTTTTGGGGCTCTTTGCTGGGCTCTTGCTGAATGCATAAAGTATTTAAGGTGGGAGCATTTCCAGACTGTTAGCGTGTGAATACCGATAGAAAGAGCTTAGAGACTTTGGTTCTAAAATAAACTCTTTCTCTGATTTGTTAGACCAATTTGTGGATGTCACGTTTTCTCTTCCCCAGGCCTCAACTTCTTCATCTGGACGATTAACACCAGTCTTATCAATATCACTGGATTATGCTGAGAACCAGACGAGATGATCAGTGGTCAGTAAACTTCGAGACACTACACAGAAGCAAGCAGTCATTTTTTTTTTAATGCAGCTGGGTCTTACAGTCCTGGCTCCTTCCAGCTGCACCCCCGTGGGAAGGCTCTGTCCATGGCCAGCCTTGAAGGGCTGGGGTTGGATTCGCTTAAAAGAGGTGGCTGGATTCCTGAACTGAGGTGCCGTCAGGGATCTCTAAGAGGAAGGAGGAGCCCAGGAGCAGGTGTTGGAGGTTCAGGAATTGAGCCCCTCTGACCAGGCTGAGCGTCTTCTTCCATTTCCAACCTTGGTGGATTGGGAACTCCTTTTGTTAGGTGAAAACTAAAGGTTTCCTGGCTCAGTGCCCCTCAGTGTTCTGTGGCACACTTTGGAAACTCTCCTTCTTTGACCGTGCTTATCAGGGGTGACGGGCACCCTTGGGAGGTGAACAGCACAATTGAAGATGGTAGAGGCCCTGATAAGGCTCCATCTCAGCACAGGAAGGACCAAAGTGGAGAGAAAGGAAGGAGGAAAGGATGACACTGGCCGAGTGGCAGCCACAAGGAAGTCTGATATCCTCACCATGGATTTTTGTCAGGAACGAAACAAACTTTTTAGGTGATCTTGTTTGGTGGGGGGGGCAGATAAAGGGTAGCTCAGGAGTTGTTTTCCATATGACTAAACATTGTAGCAAGAGCCTGGCACTCTTTTTGTGTGTGTGCGTGGAGACACAGCTGCTGTTGCCACCAGAACAGTCTCCTAATGGCTCCAGAGAGGTGGAGGGAGGGAGGTCTGGCCCCAGGAGTTCCGCCCTCTGTTCCAACCTAAGCACGTTCCCCAGGACACTGGCCAGGAGAGTGACAGACTGGAGCTCATGTCACAGAAAGTACAGGGACTGAGAAGTGTTCAGCTTGGATCATTAGACTTCATGTACCCGAGGGACTCTCGCACGGGAAGGTTCCCTCCCCACCCCCAACTCTTCTGACCCTTCTTTTCTACAGGGAAGAGTTTGGCTCAATATGGGAGAGAGCCTTCTAGAAGTCAATATGCCTGAGAGTGGTGAGCCGGAAACTGGCTAACCACAGCAAGGAGCCAGTGTGGAGGGGATTCCGAGACAGACGGGGTTTGATCCGAATGATCTCCCTTCAAGTCTAGAGGCTGCCACGTCAAGGGAAGATTCTGCAGGGTCATGGTGCATTCCTACCTGGTGTTCCCACAGCTGCGCTCCCAGAACATCTACCGGCATGGAAATACCCTTTAGGATTGTTGTGCTGGATCTTTCCCCATAGTATTAAGCCTTTGAGGTGCCGTAAGGCTCCCCTGCCCTCCTGTTTTGCTGGGAGGGGAGGATGGTCCACATCTGTCGTTCTGCTTTCTGATCAGCCCTCTTTTTCATGTTTCTTATTCCTTCCTGAGCCTCAATTTGTTGCTCTTGGCACAAGAGTTTGTGTGGATTTGTTCTTAACAATTACCCTCTGCCTTGAGAAGCATGTGGAATGTTTTAGGGATATTTTTATAAATCTTGGGCCATATTTTTATGGCTGGAAATTAGCCAGGGAACTGCAAAAGTACGGGCTTGCTTATTCAGCTTTACATCCTGAAGACAAGCTGCCCCCCTGCCTCCTACTTTTGTACCCTCGCTCTTGGGACCATGTGTCCTTCCTTGGACTGAGTCCGCCCTCCCTGACGTGGACACCGTGGTTACTTGCAGCTCCGAGTAAGTAACCAAGACTATTGCCAGGTCTTCCGGTCCTCTTCTTACTTCCTACATGCAGTCATTCTCCTTGACTTTCTTTTCCTTACTCCAGTCTTTGCCTCTTCCCATTTCCCATATTTCCTTCTTTTTAGAAATCCTTATTCTTGGAGCTGAACGCCCCTGCCCATGCCAGTGTCTACACCTTCTCCCTGGTGAACTCATGTGGATTATGGATATTGAGGGGAGTGGGCTTTAGCTCCTTTTGAAGTGTCTTAGTTCTCTTAAATTCCCAAGTTCTTTTGGGAAATGAGTTGACAGGATGATAAATTCCAACAAGCATTGTTTTTCTTAAGCATGATGGTAAAGCCCTGGTCCATTTCCACATTTTACTCATTTTGATTTTTTTTTTTTTTTTTTTTTTTTTTTGAGTTGGAGTATCACTCTTGTTGCCCAGGCTGGATTGCAATGGCGTGATCTCACCTCACTGCAACCTCTACCTCCCGGGTTCAAGCAATTCTCCTGCCTCAGCCTCCTGAGTAGCTGGGATTACAGGTGCGTGCCACCACACCTGGCTAATTTTTGTATTTTTAGTAGGATGGGCCAAGCCAGTCTTGAACTCCTGACCTCAGGTGATCCACCCGCCTTGGCCTCCCAAAGTACTGAGGTTACAGGCTTGAGCCACCGGGCTGGGCCTGATCATTCTTTTCAGACTCCAACATGAGGTCATTTTTCTGGTTCCTCTTATTTCAAACTTAAAATGCTGAACCCTGAGGAAAACTGTTTGAATCTTGCATGCGATCCTACAAGGTTCTGTGTATCAGTCCACGTGTCCACGTTAACTGAGCAGTGACTATGTGAAAGGCACTGGGGTGGGCACTGAGGACAAAGAAATCAAATTGAGAGCTTCTTGCACTCAGGTGCTCAGAGTCAAGGATGGTGATGTCAGCCCACTGAGGAATAAGGCTTGGATTCAGCCTATAGAGAGAAGGGGCAGGGATGGTGGCGAAATCTTCTTAGCTAAGGCAGTGAAATCTTAGATGGCTCTTAAAGTACAGGAGTTAGACTTTGCTAGGGAGACAAGGCTAGTATGGCCGAAGGAACACTGCTGGAAAAAGCAAGGGATTGTAAGAATAGTGCTATGTTTAAAGCTTAAAGAGCAGCTGGGTATAAGTGGATGTAGTGGAGAGGGTAGGAGCAGAGAGAGGAATTGGGAAGCCATCTTTCTCATAAGGGGCCCTGGGGATCCTGAATAGAAGAAGTGTGGACTTTGTTGATGAAAATCATTGATCTCTACAAATCCCTCACTTTACCATGACCTCTCGGTAGGGCTTCCCTGCCGGCTGACGGACTAATCATTTCACTGTGAGATGCTCTGAAAGACCTGCGTGAGTTTGTGTTTTAGGAAAATCCTTCAGGCTACAACATGGGGAACAAACAGAAATAGCAAGAAAGAGGCCAGTCACAGGAAATGCACTCAGACAATTTTGCGACAACCCAGGTGAGATCTGTGTCTATGAAACCAGCTGCGTCTGTCTCATGGAGCGCGTGTCGGTACTGCCCTGCCACACCCTGTGTTGTGGGCTTCACCTGGAACCCAGACAACCTCTGCCTTGACTCCTGGTCTTTGTGCTCACTCATTACTGCCCTTATCAGAACTCATGTTGTTTAGAGAGGCTTTGACTGCGGTTTTATCGCCCAGACCGTCTGGAGCATTCCCCTCGGGACACACATACCAGAGAAATGGCAGGATATAGGAAGTATGGCCTCAGGTCACCGGTGGATGAAATGTTTAGAGGGAAATGGTTTCTCTGTGTCTCAGCCGAGTTTGGGTCAGGCTTACTGTTTCTGGATGTCAAATGCAGTCAGTCCTTCTTGCCATTCTTGCGTGATGAAATGGATCAATGGGGCTAGGGAGGCCTGCCTATGTTACTGTGAACTCAAAGGCTTCCTGCTTATGGTGTGGGATGACTTTGGACATCTTTCTGCAGGGTTTTGGCTGTGCCTTGGTAGGTTAGCACATAACCTCACCCAGCCAAACATCGGCAGTGCCGTTCTGAGTGGCGCTAGAAGCTCCTATGTACTCTGCAGGCTTCTACCTCCGAGAGACCAAGACCTGGCCTGTCATCCCAGACCTTCCTTCTGGACTTCGCCTCCAAAGGTTGAAAGCAGTTTTTGCCTGCATGTCCTAGATGTTCAGTAGAAAGAGATCTCATCATGCTCCAGCACCTTTGGAAAAACCAGAGGCTGCGCGATGCTCATCAGTTTAATTTACTGCAGGTCTTCTTAACATCTTTAATTCACAATATGTATTACGAATCTGCAAGGGGGGTAAGAGTGTGAATAGTGCATTTTCCACACCACTGACCATGGAACTTCCTCCATTTCTGGCCTTGGTAGAGGCTCCACCCCCTGGGAAGTGGAAGCACAGTGAGGGACCCAACCTGGTTTGGAGGAGATGCTGAGGGCAGCAGAGCTTGGTCTCCTAGACGTTAGGTATAGGACATGGTTCAGGATAAGGGTCAGCAACGTCTGGATTTGCCAAGGGCGCTCCTAGCTCACACAGGTTGTCCCAGTATAATTATAATCAACTCCCTCTTTTTTCTCCCCAAAGGGTCCTGGTTTGGGGCATCAATTCTATGATCCTGGCCATAGTCCACTGCAGCCCTAGCTCCAGCCACTTGGCATTTTGAAGCCCAAAGGGCAGCTCATTGTTAGACTCTGCCCCTGCCCATAACATAGTCTGATGTCACCCTTTGACTCACCACTTGCTCTCTGACAACCTCTGATATTTGCCACTGGGTCCCAGATTCTTTCCCCTTTATTCAGCCACCATATTCAGCCTGGCAAAATGCCTCACCTTCTCAGAAATCATTCTGCAAGGGGTTGACAGGAAATCGGTGCCTTTAAGACCCACAGACCTTTTGTGGTAGGTGTCTCTTCACAATGCCTCAGTCATGGCATTTCTGGACCTCCTTAAGTGTGTGAACTTCTGGAGACCTGTCGCTGAATTGTCTGTCGTTCTTTCTCCTTGTCCTCTTGTCTCTTTTTATTCCTGCTACTGAAACAGCCACCTTCCTGCTGTCAGATGCTCCGAAGGAATTTGTGTTAGAAAATATCAGGAAACCATCCTCATTTAGGGGATGAGAGAAATAAAAGAGGAAAAAGGCCAGCTGGGCAAGGTGGCTCACACCTGTAATCTCAATTTTGGGAGGCCAAGGCAGGTGGATCACCTGAGATCAGGAGTTTGAGACCAGCCTGACCAACATTGTAAAACCTTGTCTCTGTTAAAAACACAATAATTAGCAGAGCATGGTGGCGGGTGCCTG